CTGTCTAGTGAGTACATGCTAGTCTGTCGAGTGAGTACATGCTAGTCTGTCGAGTGAGTACATGCTAGTCTGTCGAGTGAGTACATGCTAGTCTGTCGAGTGAGTACATGCTAGTCTGTCAAGTGAGTACATGCTAGTCTGTCGAGTGAGTACATGCTAGTCTGTCTAGTGAGTACATGCTTGTTTGTCGAGTGGGTACATGATAGTCTGTCGAGTGAGTACATGCTAGTGTTTCAAGTGGGTACATGCTAGTCTGTCGAGTGAGTACATGCTAGTCTGTCGAGTGAGTACATGCTAGTCTGTCAAGTGAGTACATGCTAGTCTGTCGAGTGAGTACATGCTAGTCTGTCTAGTGAGTACATGCTTGTTTGTCGAGTGGGTACATGATAGTCTGTCGAGTGAGTACATGCTAGTGTTTCAAGTGGGTACATGCTAGTCTGTCGAGTGAGTACATGCTAGTCTATCGAGTGAGTACATGCTAGTCTGTCGAGTGAGTACATGCTAGTCTGTCAAGTGAGTACATTCTAGTCTGTCGAGTGAGTACATGCTAGTCTATCGAGTGAGTACATACTAGTTGTTCGAGTGAGTACATGCTAGTCTGTCGAGTGAGTACATGCTAGTCTGTCGAGTGAGTACATGCTAGTCTGTCGAGTGAGTACATGCTAGTCTGTCGAGTGAGTACATGCTAGTCTGTCGAGTGAGTACATGCTAGTCTGTCGAGTGAGTACATGCTAGTCTGTCGAGTGAGTACATGCTAGTCTGTCGAGTGAGTACATGGTAGTCTTTCGAGTGGGTACATGCTAGTCTGTCGAGTGAGTACATGCTAGTCTGTCGAGTGAGTACATGCTAGTCTGTCGAGTGAGTACATGCTAGTCTGTCGAGTGAGTACATGCTAGTCTGTCGAGTGAGTACATACTAGTTGTTCGAGTGGGTACATGCTAGTCTGTCGAGTGAGTACATGCTAGTCTGTCGAGTGAGTACATGCTAGTCTGTCGAGTGAGTACATGCTAGTCTGTCGAGTGAGTACATGCTAGTCTGTCGAGTGAGTACATGCTAGTCTGTCGAGTGAGTACATGCTAGTCTGTCGAGTGAGTACATACTAGTTGTTCGAGTGGGTACATGCTAGTCTGTCGAGTGAGTACATGCTAGTCTGTCGAGTGAGTACATGCTAGTCTGTCGAGTGAGTACATGCTAGTCTGTCGAGTGAGTACATGCTAGTCTGTCGAGTGAGTACATGCTAGTCTGTCGAGTGAGTACATGCTAGTCTGTCGAGTGAGTACATGCTAGTCTGTCGATTGAGTACATGCTAGTCTGTCGAGTGAGTACATGCTAGTCTGTCGAGTGAGTACATGCTAGTCTGTCAAGTGAGTACATTCTAGTCTGTCGAGTGAGTACATGCTAGTCTGTCTAGTGAGTACATGCTAGTCTGTCAAGTGAGTACATGCTAGTCTGTCAAGTGAGTACATGCTAGTCTGTCGAGTGAGTACATGCTAGTCTGTCCAGTGAGTACATGCTAGTCTGTCAAGTGAGTACATGCTAGTCTGTCAAGTGAGTACATGCTAGTCTGTCGAGTGAGTACATGCTAGTCTGTCAAGTGAGTACATGCTAGTCTGTCGAGTGGGTACATCCTAGTCTGTCTAGTGAGTACATGCTAGTCTATCGAGTGAGTACATGCACATCAGTAATTAGTAATCACTGTCTTTGATGACGTATTATTAAGGCCAGGGATAAAGTCTCTTCTCTCCATATCACAATCCATTGATAGTATTGTAAAGATCGTATCTTTCCATGCAGCATGATCCCTTACTAGGCCAGGTTTGTTTACGCCAAGGAAAAGGCAACACCAAAACGATAGGAAAACGCACTATGCAGAAACTGGGCACAACCTGTTGCACTGCACTGTACAGAAAAGACCGCGCTGCAGAGAGGCGTGGGAGATTGGTTGGGGAATATTTTGGATCATGAGACGTAAGTCCCAAGTCTTTCACGTTAGCTTTCGGAATCACGCAAGCTCTGAAACGATCTTCAGCCTTTTGGGGGAAAGTTGATTAAAAAATGTCTATCCGACCCTTCTTTATCATCACCATCTTCTTCTGAGTGTTCCCCGGCTGTAAACTCTGGCGAACAATTCTATTTGGCCACTTCTGGACTTTGTGCCTTTTTTTTCCCCCCAGGACTGTGAGCTTTGCGTGTACATGCCGTTAACAAATCTAGCATATATGTAAATGTGTTGTTGGTTCCTTGTGCAAATGCAAATTCAGTTTCAGAGAAAACACCCCATAATAAGTCACCTTTTACGAAATGTTAGTGGTGTGGGTGACCAGGGAAGCAGTGTGACTATCAAGCTAGTTACGTCCCTTTTCTAGGACGATGCAGAACCAACCCTGGCATTTTTTAACTGTTGAATTTCTTGGAAAATTGTATTATATGCTCTGTGGCTTGGGCGTTACGAACTCGCTTTGTAATGCAGGGGTGCCGGGTTCGATCCCAGCCGCTAGCC